GTACCCAGACAGGATGGCAGCCTTGAGCTGAGAGCTCCTGTTCCCACGAATAATCAGATGGCTGAAGCAAGGAGCAGATACCCGCTGGGGTAAAGAGGATTCTATCTGAGCAAAGTTCAGGTGCTGCTGTGTGGCTGGGAATATCATTCCTGAAGGAAATGAGTGCCATACCTTTTAAGTAGAACACCGAGTTAGAGAGCTGGTATAATCACCTAAAATGGACAATGTCCTGCAATAGATACAGCGTTGGGTTGTAGGTTTTTAATAGTTCATTAAATTTACGTTGCAATTTTGTGGATGATGTAAAAAAAAATGACTGTGATCTGGCCAGCACAAGATCTTTAATACAGCTATGGGAGAATGAGCTGAAATCTACTCTGGCTCATTTGTTCTCAAGGAAAGTGCTTGCTGGGTTTTAAAATCTTCAGTACTGAAGCTGATGTATAGACCAGAAAGGATATATCTGGATTTTCAAACCACATCCTGAGTTGACAAAATCGCCTTAGGAAGGAAAAAAAAATGCTTTTCTTGTCAACTGGTCACAATTGATGAAGTGTCAAAGGAATAAAAGCGATAATAAATGTAGTATTCACACTACTTCTTAATTGTTTGCTTTTCAGCATATAATATACTTCAGTATATATGTATTTCAGCATATAATATACTTCAACATACTATGCATGTTCCTACTATAATTTTGTTCTCTATATCATATTCCTCCAAAATTTTAAATTTAAGGGATGGGTTTGTGACTGGTACAAAATGAAGAAAGGCTGTGAAAAGTGCAAAGGTGTTAGTGAAGCGAGAAGGTGATAAAAGGAAGCGGTGGTCGAATCAGACAGAATATCTGAGCTGTAACTGGCACAGAAATATCTTAGGCACTAGCAGTGGATGGTCTCCATGCTCTCAGAGGGAGGGAGGTTTATTTGTGGTTCCAGAGCTTTTAGGATATCTCAATTCCTGTTGAGTTCCCCTTTTTCCTGGAGGCGGGGAGGTCCTTTTTGCAGTTCATTCAGTGCTACAAACTGTTGTCAGTAAATGTGTTCCCTTTCACCTGCCCACCTCTCCCAGATTTTGTTTGCAAGTTGTCTGGCTGACACTGAGCTCATGTGGAAGAAAGTCCTTTGAGTTGTCTGTCCAGAGCCCTACCCATGCCCCGGGGAGATGATTTCTTATCTGAGAGCAGAGTTTTGGAAAGAATGGGCATCCTTTGCTGTCAGTTTGAGCCTTGGGCTTAACTCGTAGATGTCATGGTGATGCTGACATTACAAAGCTAGAGCAACATCATCCTGATGTGGTGGCAGCCTTTTACACCGTTTGATTACAGCAAGCCCTAAATAATAACTTATGGAGAAGGAAGAAATACATCCCTTAATTGCTTGCCTTCTCCTTTTAATTGTTGTGCTGTTTTGTAGCGCTCCTAAAACTCTTCCAAGAGAGACTAATTTATAAGTGTATCATTGAAAGATGACTGAATCCCACCCTTCTTTCTAAATTAAACCTCGATCGCCTTTAAAGATGTCGTGCAATAAGTTTAAGTCAGGTTATAGATAGTCTAAGAGAATACAGTGCCCTCTACACTGTGCCTGCAATAATCTGAGCCTTCTTCGTAGTTGTTTAGGATTTTTATATCCTTTTTTTTTCAGGAAATGAATGGCACCGTGTGAAAACCAATTGTGTAAGGGGAGTGTTGACAGGACATTGAAGTGAAGCATGGGTGTTTCAGTTGAAGTACAGTGTGTTAGTCAGATGCTGCCTGCTGTGCTGATTAGCAGTAACAGTGTAATTCTGTAGCCTGTGTTATACAGCAAAATCATAGCAGAAAAATGAATGGCCCTCCCTGTCTGTAGTGTGGGAATATATAAATGGCCTGTGCTTTGGTATTCACTTTGTCTTAGGTTCTGGAATGACCAAGAGCCGTGTATGTGCTTTCACGGCACATCCATTTTCTTAAGTGCTTGGCAGAGCGAGAGGAGCCGTGATTGCAGGGAGGGAACTGATTGTTTTGTTAGTTTGTGATTTTTGTGTTGTGATTGTATTTGCTTTGTTGGTTCTTGAGGTTTTTGTTGGACTTAGCCTCTTTGTGTTTTTGATAAATAAATGAAGTGTGTATACCTAGGCCTTCAAATAGAGGCTTTAAAAGTCCTATAATGTCTGGATGCCTGTCACTGCTGCCAGGATTATCTGGTGAAAGGCAGGACTGTCAAGCATCACAGAAGTGCAAGATTTTAGCTTTTTCTCTCTGCCTGCTCCTCTCATACTCCAGCTGGTTTTGTTTGTGTACCTGTCACATACTCGCATTTTCCATTTTCACAATGCATGCAAACCCTAAATAATAGCTACATTGCCTTTTCAGGTGTATTTATTAGCTTTCTCCCAGCGCGCCACAACCCCAAACCTCTGTTTTGTGAATGCCATTTCAACAGATCTACTCCATCCTGGTTTGGTTTTATTTTCTTGCTTTTTGGGCACCAATCCACAAGATCACTTCACTGTTGTTATTGGATGAGGAGTAGGGCTTCTGGATCACTTCTGTCACAATCTAAAATGCAGAAGTTTTGGGGTTTTTTTGTTATGTTTTCCTTCAACTTGGCAGTGCTCTAGCAATCTCTGTCGCTACAAGCTGCAGTCAGTGAGCGTTTCCTTGTTTCAGAAGGGTCCTGTACTCGGTGGTGAATGGCAGAGCAGGATTTCTCTGACACATAGATGGTTTTACAAGGGAGAGAGAAGACATGTTCAGAATGTTGTTGCATTATTTTAATTGCAAGTTACAGGGAACTCCGTTGTTTCCTTCATTCTTACCTTTTAAACTCCAGAAAACATCAAAGCCAAAACAAGCAAGTTCATGTGTGGTGAGACATACACACTGAGAAACTGTGCAGTGCTTGCTTAGCCTTTTGAAGACCAGGCTAATATTTAAACTTCAGTCCTATTGCTCACCAGAAAAACAACATACATGCGGATCCTGATCCTTTGCAGAGCACCTCTGCTGTGAGGGAGCTGGGGTTGTTCAGCCTGGAGAAGAGAAGGCTCCGGGGAGACCTTACAGGGGCCTTCCAGTACCTGAAGGGGCTACAGGAGAGATGGGGAGGGACTCTTCATCAGGGAGTGGAGCGATAGGACAAGGGGTAATGGTTTTAAACTGGAAGAGGGGAGATTTAGGTGAGATACTAGATAGAAATTCTTTGCTGAGAGAAGCTGTGGCTGCCCCATTCCTGGAGGGGTTCAAGGCCAGGCTGGATGGGGCTTGGAGCAACCTGGTCTGGTGGGAGGTGTCCCTGCCCAGGGCAGGGGATTGGAACTCCATGATCTTTAAGGTCCTCTCCAACTTTAGCCATTCTGTGATTCTATGATTCTAAAGTCACCGTGACTTTACTGTGGTTCCAGGTTAATGAGGCGGATTTTCCCCATGGCCTCTGTTGGGGTGGGGGGCATTTTTACTGCTAGTTGTCTGGTAGGGTACTGGTCCTGCTGTGTCATTTTACTAGTATTATTTTGAGAGAATCGATCCACTCTTTTAAATGACAGTCATCACCAGTCAAACAAAAGTAGTTGGTTTCTACACTGGAATCAATGAAATGGAAAATGTATTCTGGCTTAGCTGGGAACACATGCATTTTACCTTCTCCTCTTTAAGGATAGGTTTTCCTACCTTTCATATTCTCTTGGTTGTCTGTTAGGTCTGTGTGATCTGTGACCTGCACAGAAAATACATACTATGGGCAATAATGTAATAGGGTGGGTTTTTTTCAGTATTTGCTGCTTTTATGATGTGTTATATTGATCCATTCTGACTCCTCAAGTACTTTTTTGGGTGATGATGAGAAAGATGGTATCATTCTTCACCAAAAGGAAAAGGGCTCAATTTTCATGCAAACCAATATTCAACAGAATCGTAAAGCCCTAGCCCTGGTAATAAAAATAAGAAGCTGACGCTATTAATACATCATTCCAGATACACGGAGCACCATTATGTGGCTCCTGGGTTGAGTAAAACTTCATGTAATCACAGTAGCCATAGACTTAAGCCCTATAAAGTTGAAAACTTCACCAGATGGCCGCTGCCGAGGCAGCTTCTAAGGGCTCTGTAGCTGCGGTGTGCTAGGGCTCTAGATATGACTTACCCAGTGGTAGCTTTTTAAAATACAATTACTGAACATAACCGATCCACATTATGGAAGTAATAATAATAACACTTTGCACTCGGTGATCTTTCATCTGAGGACTCAAAAGCTCTTAACCGAGGCTTTTAAATACTCCCTTTCTGCTTAAGGGGAATAAAGTGTTCAGAGTCTTGATGGAGCATGAGAGAACTGGGCCGCAGCAGCCCGGCTGCCTGGCCTGGTGCGAGCGGACAGGCGGTGCCCTCGGCGGGTCTGGGATTGGGACAAGAGAGCGCTCCTGTCCCTGGCAGCTGGGAGATGATGTGCCCAGTCACTTGCGGTTGGAACCTCCTACTTCAATAGGACTTTTGATCTTGAGCACAGCCAGCCTGTGAGTGGGGTTGCTAGAACATTAAAATGCTGTGGGGGAGGAACGAGGACAACATATAATGGCCCTAACCTGAAATTTCCTTTATTCATTCTGTAAACTGTGAGGGTAATACTGAAACAATATTGAGATTTGGGGATACTAAGGCTCAGATATACCACTCTTAGCTGAGCGGCTTAGGTGGGGAGTGAAAGGCTCTATATGATCAGGGCCCACAGATAAGTACCTGCAAACACTGGCCTGTATTTTAGGGAGAACGGTTATGTCCTTTTTAAGTGTACCACATGTTGGTCATGAATTTACTGAGCTTTAATACTCAGCCTCAAAAATCACGCAATGGTATTTATCGGTAATGGGAGTAAATAACAGTATTTGACATTTCCTTTTGTATAGTCAGTAGTTATTTTTTTCTTCCTTTTTTCCCCAAAGTGATCTTATTGTTGAATTTGAAGGTCTAGAGATCAAGCTTGCAAGTTTTCTTAACGACTGTTTGTGTTTTTATCTTTTAGATTGATGTCATTGTGACTTTGGGTGGACTTGGAGGACGCTTTGACCAAATAATGGCATCAGTGGAAACGCTTTTCCATGCAACAAATATCACTTCTTTTCCAGTGATAGTTCTCCAGGAATGCTCACTGATCTACCTGCTTCAACCTGTAAGTGGGGTAAAAAGTTACTTGATCATAAAACTGAGTTTTATCCACTCTTACCCTGTAGATCTTGCATCATTAAATGCTCGTTTTGTTAATTGTATTCTGCAAGGTCAGAGCCTAAATATAAAAATATTTAGGGAATATGGGAAGTGGACAGCAAATGATGGGCTCTGCATTCCTGCCTTGGAAAAGATTGTGTTTCATTTGTTCAGGATCATTGTCTTTTTAAAGGGGAGTGTCCTGGTTTGAGGACAGGGAGAAATCCAGAATATATGAAAACTGAATTTGGGTAAATACAGGTTTTTGATTATAAGTGGGAAAAAAAAAAGTTTTAAAACTTTTTAATTAGATTCCAATAAGTTTAAATTTAGTATACAGCTCTTTGGCGTGTTGAGTAGAAATAAGGATGTCTGCAGTAATAGAAACAAAAGAAAGCTGTAAGAGGAAGATATGAGGGAGTTCCTGACAAACACGTCAGGCAGAGCTCTTCTGTGGTCTGAGTGGTGCAGTTCATTATGATGGGAATCCAGCTAGGATCAACGAGGGAATTTATTTAAGATGTGTTATTTTTGTGGGTGTTCAGGCTGTTTTGCCATTTATTGATTCATAAAACAACACACACAGAAGATCTAGCTGGGCTTCTGCTTCTAAGATTTAATTTAAAGGCAAATCTAGGCATCAAAGAGTCTTCTCTAACAGTTATTCATTTATTTGTTTGGAAATACCTTTTCCTGATGTCAGGGTTTCTAGAAGCTTAACTAACTTTCCCATTTTATCTTGGAAAGCTTATTTCATTAGAATAAATAACTTTCACAGATAAATCTGACAAAACCCTGCACCACGCGTGCTTCATTGTAATTTGAGAAAAGCATTAATAAGGTTCTGTGAGATTATAGATTTAAATCCACAGGGGCAGATGCTGTATTAACAACTTTGAAGCACTGTGTCTGCAGGAAAGATATTAGGCACAGGAGCTCATTTGCCAATATGACGAGGAATGACTCTGATCATTAGTTGCACGGCTAAATGGATAGAGGCAGCAGAGTGAGGGGGAAAGAGGGCTAAAGGATAACTCTGGTTAAAATCTGAAATTGTGATTTGATCTCTGGGTGCAGTACTTCACTGACCACTGTATATTAATTTTAGGATGTTTTTAAGAACATATTGAAAAGCTGAAATAAGATGGAGAATTCCCAATTTAGCTTACAAAGCACTTAACTTGGACTGGAAAGACTTTTAATTCTGTTCATTCATCTTTTCCCTAAGTGGCTTTAAAATGCCATGCCTAAGGTTGCTTTCAGAAGAATCTTCAATGAGTAATTGAACCCTTTGGAACTTGAAAAAAAATCGTGACCTATGCATTTAAATAGAAATGGGAGGTTGCTAATTGTTTGGACTTGCTGGAAACTTCTTTATGTTCTAGTTTTAACAATGCCATACAAGAAGCATTTAATGCTTTTTTTTTGTTGCTGGAGAGAGTTCCACAGGATATTAATTTTTTCTAGCATTCCTGGCTGTCAGTCTGCACTGCCAGTCACTGACTTGTGTAACTTCAGGCTGTTTCTAGCATTCAGAAGGAAAGGGCAGATACAGGGGGCAGGCCGTTTAAACAATCTTAATGCTAACTTTGACACAAAATTGCTTTTCAGTATTGGTTTAAACTTGTCGCTGTCAGCATCTTCCGTCAACTGTCGTGGTACCTCCAGATAATAACGTTAATCCTGCATAGTTTAGATAAAAATCAAGCGAGTAGTTTATACACAGAAAGAAAAGAGGATTCTAAGCTTGGAAGCGCTCCCTTTTTTGTATAGAGTTCAGCCTGATATTTTGCTCTTCTAAACAGCTACAATCATGACATTCTCTCCTTTTCCCTTCTCCTCTTTGTAATTTAAAATCAAGGTAGGAGGGAGTTGAACACAGTGGGAGACCCACTGACTTTTTGAAATGCAAGTCTGGAAACTGTGCAACAAATGAAGCAAGGTTTTGAGATTCAAATGCTAATGCAAATGATAAAGTTAAGAGCATGTTGCTTTTCCTATAAAATGTAGATCTGAAAACTTTCTCTCTCGGGGAAGAAGAGTCTGATCTTTATTGGATTCTTTGGATAAAATATATGAGCCAGGGTTTTGCTTCAAAATAATGTTAGCCCTCCATTGACTACAGTGAGAGACTAGAGTAGGTTCTCTGTCACGTGTACCCAGGCAGACACAAAAATATTTGGGTAGAGCAGATAAAGCAGTAATCCCTGGGAAAGTTTCAAAGGGGAATAACAGGACGAGCTGCTGACTTTCTGTTACTAATGCAGAAACTAAGAGGAGAATGTGTGAGGAGGTATCTAAGGAAGTACACCATAAAAATCTTTTAAGTAATTGCTTTGAAAGAGAGTTATTTCACGTTATTACGATGTTGATATATGAGAGTACAGCAGAAGAAATATATTAGTATTTAACACACTTGCAAAGGCTCCACAGTGTTGTAGGAAACAGGGTTATAGACTTCCTAAAAGTCTTTAGGGTGCTAGAGGAAGACAGCAAGGACAATGCCTGATTTGGAATCCACTGCAGACTACCAAGGAAGGAGGAGCAGGTAAACAAAGCCTTTTTTCATCAGCTAATAAAGTTATCTGAGTACTGAATGTAAGGATAATTGGCATTTTGGGTGCTGAGGCATCTCTTGGGAAACAAGTAGATGGACCAACAGTGCGAATTTTTGAAATACATTGATTAAAATGTTTTGGCATAGAAAGTGAAGAACACTAAAAGGAAGTAAACTCTTTTATATTAGTTTCTGACCCGTAAGGATGAACTATGTGGAGAGGTGGAGAAGAGAAAAAAGATGGGAAGAATTACACCCCATAAATAGCTGTCTCCATGGACTCTGTGGAGAAATTGGGTGGTAGGCTGAGATCTAGGTATACACTGTGGGTATCTAAATTTATATAAATGAATTCCAGTGTAGGTCAAATTACTAAACAAGTATTTAAGCAAAGAAAGCAGGCATGAAATGAGGTGAAGCTACGGAAAGGCCCAAGCAGTGAGAACATAGTTTGTAACTACAGAAGTTGTAAGTTTACAGTGAAAGATGTTCTCTCATCTGACTGGGAAAGAAAAACTGATGGCAAACAGTCTAAAGTTAATGCACCTTTTGCTCAATCTTCACTAAAGCAAAGTATTCCTTTGAGCAGGGAACCAACACAGTTAAAATCAGTTCCAAAGCCCAAAGACTTTAAATTGTTTCAGAGAGAAAGCAAATAACAGATTGAGCTGCCTTTGATTTTGCCAACTCCAAGGGTTGTTAGTTTCTCTGTGCTAATTAGGATAGAAGTCAGAAATGGGGAGACTGTGTAAGAATTCCAGGAGGTGATGCTTGCTCTGAAGCATTTTCTAATGTGATGGTTGAAATAAAAAAAAAAAAAAAAAGAAAAAAAAAAGAAAAAGGAAAAAAAAACCTAAAAGAATCTCTGTACTGAATAGCTATCGTATTTCTTTCTGCAGTGGGAAGAGGGAGGAAAGCCTGAATTCTTAATAAGCAGTAATCACTCTTTATAAGCAGGATATTTTATGCAACAGTCCATACATTTTATGCTTGAAATTTTGGTAATATCAATTAGAATATACCCTGGATGAAGCACATTAGGCCCTTAGAGTCATGTTTATCATGCTAGCCATGCTCAATACAAATGGCTTAAGGTTTCACATACATACTTTCTCATTTTCTGGTTGTGTGCATCTCAGGAGTACAGAAACATTAGCTTCTGTACACTGAGCATAAATTATCTTTTATCTGTGAGTTTTATGGCAGTTTGTAATACAAGGTAATAGGATTTATGACCAAGAAATGAGAAGATGTCCAAGAGTTAATGAGGCCTGTCTTTTACATTATATTGAGTAGTTCAGTTTTCCCCACACAGGATTCCAGCCCTGGGATGTAGAGAAGAATTGCTACCTACACATGAAAATGTGTTACAGCAGCATATTTTTGTCAGTTAACTAACTCTTTTGAAAGAGTGTGTGAATACTTTGATAACCCTTTTTCTTGCGCACAGCTTTTCTTGTGAGTGCATTCTTGCCTTCCCTGTGAGAAATGATGAATAATTTAACATCATAGATAGTAGTCCAGCAGCTAAATATGAGCAATAAGAATCAGGAGTCCCCGTCCCTTATTCTTGGCTCTTTACTACCATTTCGTTGGAAAGAAATAAAAAATTGTGTAGTCTTTTGATCTCACAGTCTTCTAGTTTGTAAATTGGATAAAGCCCACATCCTTCGCTGAATGGGTGTTGTGAGGCTCGTTTGGTTTTTACAAAATGCTGTTACATCCTCAGCTCTTCACCGAGGTGGAACATAGCATTATGGTAGTAGTAACAACAGTATTAATAAATCCCTTAATTAACATAAATACTGCCATACAGTAGGCTGTGCAGCTAATTAATCAGTGTGGTCCCAAGCACAGTTTGTTGGGAGCAGACAGTGCCTGGGCCGAGTTTGGGGTTAGCACAGATGTTGGAGGGTGCCACCTTGTCTTGGGGACAAGAGAGAACAGCCATAAGTGTATGAGCAGTGTTTTGCCGGTTGGTTTGAGAGCCAGAGAGTGTTTCCTGGAGCATTTTATAGATGCAGACGGAGTGACTAGCACAGAGATCCTCTCCTGGATGCGGACTCTACAGTAGGTATTGGTGAGGGAAGGCACAAGACTGGAAACGTTACTGGAGATTATTGCTGCAGATCTCTGTGTGGATGTTACGTGGTTCGCTTTGTGTCCATGCTTGTGGAGTACAGTGTAGTGGGAAGTTCAGGGTATATACTTTCAACTTCTGAGTTTTCTTCTGGCAGCCACTTCCTTGAATTTCGTGGGAACTTCAAGAATGAGCTCTCAGATCAGTTCTGTACCGCCTCGTTTGCAAGAAGCAGATCTGGCTTGTGCTGGCACTCAGCGGAGAAAATCCTTAGTGATCCCATGCAGCTTCTAGGGGATAACTTTGGAATTTGGAAATTTGAGGATAA